ATATATATATATATATATATGTATATATATATATATATATATATGTATATATATATATATATATATATATATATATATATATATATATATATATATATATATATATATATATATATATATATATATATATATATATATATATATATATATATATATATATATATATATATATATATATATATATATATATATATATATATATATATATATATATATATATATATAATTTATTAAATTACGTGTAAATTGTATTTTAAAAACATCTGCCCCCACCCCAACCCTCACAGTAATATACAAACAGTAATTATAATGAAAATTATTTATGTTACTTAATAAATTACAAATTAAAATATGTTTTAATAATGTTTACGCCCACCCAGCCCTCACATTAATGTAAAAACATTAATTATAATGAAAATTATTTATTAAATTACCTAATAATTGTGTTTTATTAACATCAATCCCTACCCCAACCCCATTAGTAATGTTAAAAACAAACATTATACCTAAAATTATTTAGAATATTTATTAAATTACCCGTTAATTGTATTCTAATAACGTTTACCCCCACTCCAACAGTAATTATAATGAAAATTATTTATATTATTTATTAAATTACCAGGTTATTGTATTTTAAGAATGTCTGCCCCCACCACAATCCTCACAGTAATGTAGAAACTTTAATTATAATGAAAGTTATTCATATTATTTATTAAATTACCCAATAATTGTATTTTATTAATGTCAATTCTTACTCCTAATTGAATTTAATTGAAAATTGAATTAATTATAGCGAAGGGTATTCATATTATTTATTAAATTACCCATTAAATTGTATTTTAATAAAGTTTATCCCTACCTCAACCCTCGCAGTAATGTAAAAACAGTAATATAGCAAATATATATATATTATTTGTTTAAATTACCCATTAAATTTCATTTTAGTAACATAAATCCCTACCCCAACCCTAATCCTACCCCTTACAATAATGAAAAAATATGATTTATTGATGTACAGTGTCAAAAAACGATGCTACAGTATATTGATGTGAGTATCTGCAGCTGTATCCCTTCTAGGCTTCACCCTGCATCGCTCATAAGTCTTCATCAGCTGTTTTCTGTGCTGTCGATTGTTTTTAGATGGGTGGTTGGAGAGTGGGGTGAATGCAGTAAATCGTGTGGTAAAACGGGCACTCAGACTCGCTCTGTGCGCTGCGTTCAGCCTCTGGGAGATGATAAAGTCAAGTCCATCCGCAGCCGATACTGCAGCGACGAGCGTCCAGAGTCCCGCAGAGACTGCAACCGCAACCTGTGTCCTGCAGAGTGGAAGCTTGGGCCATGGTCACAGGTACAGACAGGACACTCTGAAATGGTTAATGTGGCTTGATGTACAGTTGAAGTCAGAATTATGTATATTTTTTTTCCCTAGTTTTTGTTTAACAGAAAGAAGATTTTTTTTAACACAGTTCTAAACATGACAGTTTTAATAACTCATTTCTAATAACTGATTTATTTTATCTTTGCCATGATGACAGCACATAATATTTGACTAGATATTCTTCAAGATGCTAGTATTCAGTTTATAGTGACACTTTAAGGTGTAACTAGGTTAATTAAGCAAGTTTAGGTAATTAGGCAAGTCATTGTCTAATAGTGGTTTGTTCTGTAGACCAGGGGTTCCCAAACTTTTCAGCCCGCGGCCCCCAAAATGACAATGCCAGTGACTCGCGACCCGCAATATCCTCTGAGGTGGTTATAAATACAGAAACTTTGCATGCAATGGCGCACACACACCAATAGACCCAAGTCTATTCTTCATTTAATTATTATTATTTTTTTATGTATGTGAGTGCTGTAAATGGGCCAGAAAGTTTAACCTGTTGTTATAAAGTCAATCTGCTGCATTTGACGCAATTGCTGTGTCTTTAATTTAATGTAATGACCCCAGGGGTCGCAATCCAATAGAACTAGTAACTATAAGCTACTATAGTAAATATATAGTAACTATAAATGACTATTTTTTTCTCTTAAGTAGGTTATGGATAAAATATGGGCATTCTTATGGTTTAATAAAAAAAAATAGATTTTTGGAAATCACCAGGCGACCCTCTCTTTATTGTCTCGCGACCCCTCGGGGGGTCCCGACCCCCACTTTGAGAACCCCTCCTGTAGACAATCGAAAACAAATTTTGCTTAAGGAGACTAATAATATTGACCTTAAAATGGTTTTAAATAAATTAAAAACTGCTTTTACAATAAAAACAAAAATAAAATATGGACTTTCTCCAAAAGAAAAAATATTATATTTACATTTACATTTAGTCATTTAGCAGACGCTTTTATCCAAAGCGACTTATGAATGAGGACAAGGAAGCAATTTACACAACTATAAGAGCAACAATGAATAAGTGCTGTAGGCAAGTTTCAGGTCTGTAAAGTCTAAGAAGGGAAGTATTAGTAGTATTAGTTTTTTTTTTTTTTTTGGGTACAGTTAGTGTGATATTCAGAGAGGCAATTGCAGATTAGGAAGTGAAGTGGAGACTAAATAGTTGAGTTTTTAGTCGTTTCTTGAAAGTAGCGAGTGACTCTGCTGTTCTGATGCAGTTAGGGAGTTCATTCCACCAACTGGGCAGATTGAGCGTGAGCATGAGCCGGGAAAGTGATTTCTTCCCTCTTTGGGATGGAACCACGAGGCGACGTTCATTCACAGAATGCAAGTTTCTGGAGAGCACATAAATCTGCAGAAGTGAGAGCAGATAAGAAGGAGCAAAGCCAGGAGTCGTTTTGTAAGCAAACATCAGAGCTTTGAATTTGATGCGAGCAGCAACTGGCAGCAAGT